TAGAGAAAAGAGTGAGAACCAACTATATGCACACACTTCGAATAGAAAGACACAGAAAGATTAGAAGAAAAAGATCAGAAGAAATATACCATGCAAATACTAATCCTAAGAAAGCTGTAGTAGCTATATTGATATCAGGTAAAGTAGATTTCAGGACAACAGTTATTACCTGTTAAATAAAGAAATTAAGAAATAAAAAGATAAATAAAGGTACTGAACAATTTTAAAAGGGTCACCAAGACATAATGATCCTAAGTGTGTGCACCTAAAAGCAAAGTTTCAAAGTACATGAATCAAAAACTGACAGAACTAAAGGGAGAAACAGCATATCCACAATTAGAGTTGTAGATTTTAATGCCTGCCTCTTAGTACTTGATAGAACAAGCACATTTTTTTTTTAGCCTAAAAAGGTATAGAGATTTGAACAACATTATTAACCAACTTCACCTAACTGACACTATACTCAGGGAATACTCCTCCCAACTCATTTCTAAGAGGCCAGTTTTACCCTGATACCCAACTTACATTACAAAAAAGAAAAGTACACTACTGGTTGGAATGCAAAATGGCATAACCACTTTGAAAAACAGTTTAGTTGTTTCTTAAAAGTTAAACGTACACCTATCATATGATCCAGCTATTCCACTCCCAGGTGTTTACTCAAGATTAATGAAACCAACTGCCCATACAAGTACACAAATGTTCAGAGCAACTTTATTTGTATTAGCTCCAAACTAGAAACAACCCAAATGTCCGTCCACAAGTGAATAAAGCAAACTGTGGTATGTGTATCTATGCAATGAAATACTCATCAATTAAAGGGAATGAACTACTGATACATGCAACCATGGATGAATCTTAAAACAATCATGGTGAGTAAAAGAAGCCAGACCCCCACAAACACACAAAAAGGATATATACTGTAAGATGCTATATATGCAATATTCTAGAAAATGTAAACTAATCTATAATAACAGAAAGTACATCAGTGTTTGCCTGGGGATGGGCAAGTGGTGAGTAAGGGATTATAAAAGAACACAAAAAAACTTCAGAGTGATGGATGTGTTTGCTATCTTAATTGCAGTGATGATTTCATGAGTGCATACATAGGTCAAAACTTATCAAACTGTACAATTTAAATATAGGCACTTTATTGTATGACAGTATGCCTCAATACTGTTTAAAAAAAACATCACCAGAAATATTTATTTTCTTGATTATGACCATCATCAACAAACCACTGATATTCATGGGGCACGGCTAATTCTAGGACTGTAGTTATCTAGCCTTAAGTCAGTTTTGGGAGTGATATTAAAAACTATGTAAAGGGGCACCTGGGTGGCTCAGTCGTTAAGCATCTGCCTTCGGCTCAGGTCATGATCCCAGGGTCCTGGGATCGAGCCCCGCATCAGGTTCCCTGCTCTGTGGAAAGCCTGCTTCTCCCTCTCCTACTCCCCCTGCTTGTGTTCCCTCTCTTGCTGTCTCTCTCTCTGTCAAATAAATAAAATAAAATCTAAAAACCAGGTAAAATCCTGGGGAATTTTAGATAGAAGTGATCAGAAAGTATGTTCTTGAAAGCAACTCTGTATACAAACTACCCTAGGTCTTAAAGTAATTTAGATACCTTTCCAAGAAAAAGAAGTTTCACAGAAGAAGTCACTCACTAGGCAAAGAGGAAATATCCTAACATTGTAAGTTTCTTCAGTTCATTTCATAGTTGGGACTCTCTGATAGTTTTAATGTGTTTTAATAAAGTATAGGCATGGTGATTTATTTAAGAACAATGACAATAAGGGTGCCTGAATGGCTCAGTCGGTTAAGCGTCTGCCTTTGGCTCAGGTCATAATCCCAGAGTCCTCCCTTGCTTGGCAGGGAGCCTGCTTCTCCCTCAGCCTTTGCCTGCTGCTCCCCCTGGTTGAGCTCTCTCTGTCAAATAAATAAATAAAATCTTAAAAAAAAAAAATAACAACAAATCAATCCATGTAATATACCATATTACCAGAATAAAAGAATCCTAGAATCATCTCAATAGATGGAGGAAAAAAGATAAAAATAATTTATGACAGAAAATTTCAGTAAACTAGAAATAAAAGGTAACCTCCTCAACTGATAAAGGGCATTTATAAAAACCTACTTCAGCAAATGTAATACTAACTGATGAAAATGATCACTGTTCATGGTGAAAAACTGAACCCTATGATTAGGAAAAAGGCAGAAATACTCAATTCTTCTATTCCACAATGTACTGGAGGGTCCTAGTATAGTGAAATGAAAAAAAGAAGAAGAATAATACAGACTGGAAAGAAAGAAGTAGAGCTATCTTTATTGGTAGATGAAATCAGTAGGTACAAGGCAAATCCTAAGAAATTGACAAAAAAGCTATTAGGACTAGTTCACTATTAGTGAACTTAGCAAAATTTCAGGACACAAAATCAATACACAAAAATTTTGTTTTTATGTAACAGCAACAAGTAATTGGACAACTAAAAATCATAGTAGCAAAAAACAAAGTACTCAGAGATAATTTCATGAAATATGTATAAGACTTCTACTCTGAAAAATATAAACTATTGCTGAGAAAAAAAGACCTTACTTGGAGAGATATACCATATTCATGGATTGGAATACCCAGTATTATTATGATGTCTATTCTCTCTAAATTGGTCTACAGATTCAGGGTAATCCTAAACAGAATCCCAGTTGGATTTTTTTTTAGAAACTGGAAATTAGAAATTCCCCTAACATTTATATGGGAGAGCAAAGTTCCTAAAATTGACCAATATTCTATTAAAAGGACAAAGTTGAAAAACCAAGAGTACCTGAATTTAAGATTTACTATAAAACTCCAGTAAGTAAGACCATATTGGCATAAACATAGATAAACAGACTGACAAATCAGAAATAAACTCATATATACTTATGCATGCATCTGATTTTCAACAAAGGTTGCAATGCAATGGGGAAAGAACAACTTTTAACAAATGATGGAACAACCAGATCTCCATATGGGAAGAAATGAATCTCAACTCCTATCTCTCACCATTCACAGTTAACTTGAAAAGATCACAGACCTAAATCCAAAGGCTAAAATTATAAAGCTTCTTTTTTTGTTTTTTTAAGATTTTATTTATTTATTTGACAGAGAGAGACACAGCAAGAGAGGGAACACAAGCAGGGGGAGTGGGAGAGGGAGAAGAAGGCTGAGCAGAGAGCCTGGCGCGGGGCTCGATCCCAGCACCCTGGGATCATGACCTGAGCCAAAGGCAGATGCTTAACGAATGAGCCACCCGGGTGCCCCTAAAATTATAAAGCTTCTAAAAGATAATTAAGGAGAATATCTTCACAATCTTGAGGTAGCTAAGATATTCTGGGTAGGACCCAGACAGTACTAACCATAGAAAAAAATTGATAAATTAGACTTTGTCAAAATAAAAACTATTCATCAAAAGATACTGTATGAAAATCAGAGGGCATGCTAAAGACGGAGCAAATATTCACAGTATATAAGACCTGGATCTAGAATATACAAAGAGAGCTCTTACAATTTAATAATACAAAGACAAACACCCCAACCACAAAATGGGCTAAAGACTTTAGACAATCTGCATAGTAAAGTATACAAATGGCCCATATGCAGATGAAAAAGTGCTCAATGTCGTCGGTCATCAAGAAAATACAAATTAACACCACAATGACCACTACACATTCACAGGAATAGCTAGAATTAAAGAGCCCATCACCTCCAAATGTTGGCAAGAATGTGGAGGAAGTAGAACTCCCATACGTGGCTAGAGGGAGTGCAAGATGCTACATTTTGGAAAATGGTTTGTAAGTTCTTACAAAGTTAAACACTCTCCCCTATGACCTAGCAATTTTACTCCCTGGTGTTTATCTGAGAGAAATAGACACATATGCCCTCAAAAAGCCTCCTACAAACACTTTCATAGCAGCTTCATTCATAAGAGCCTAAAACAGGAAACAACCGAAATGAACAACAAAAGACTAAACCAAATGTGGTATTTTCATAAAATGGAATACTGCTCAGCAGTCAAAAAGAATGAACTGATATATACTACATGTATGAGTCTTAAAGACATTTTGCCACGTGAAAGCAGCCAGATAAAAGAGTATTATTATACGACTCCATTTGTAAGGACTTCTGCAGTCAGTGTAGGTTCTAAATACTCTCATCAGACCCAGGGTCCTCAAGCCCGAGCCCTGGGTACCACCTGAAGCGGTCAAGTCCAGCCCCTAATTCCACACAGAACCCATCGGCGTACAAATCTGCAGATCCGAAGGCCACTGGAGGGGCTGTTTCAGCCTTGGCAAACCAATCCTCTGTTGGATCTAGCCTAAATCTCTCATACCCTCCTTGCCCACATACCTGGGGATCTAAGGATGGAGCCCCCTCTGACACACAGGAGGGAAGCTGTGAAATCAGTAGTTTCAGGAGAATGGAAGGCTGGGATGTCCCACAGGAAGGGCCCTCAGAACTTTTTTCTTCCAGGCCAAGGGAGAAGGGAGAGATTGAGGGCCAGAGACAGGATGGGACCTGCCCAAGGTCACGCAACCCTGCAACCCAGCCGATTAAAACCCAGGGCTTCTGAGTCTTGGCTTAGTGCCCCTTCTAGCTTTCCACCCCTTCCACCACCAAGGGCAAAGAGGCAGCTGTCTTGTCTAGCTGGCCATGGCTTAGCTGCATCACGTGGCCCTGGCTCTCAGGAACCACATGATTCAGAGGTGCTTAGAGGTGAGGACAGGACCACTGAAGGATGTGGATGATCGATGCCCACCCTGAGTCTCCCGATGGCGACTCAGGCTTTCCTGGCTGAAGGATGCGGCCTTCCCAACTATTCCAGCTTCCGCAGTAAGGTGGCCCAGGTCAGACCTGGATACCTGCAGATTGCCCGGGGCCAAGCTCATCTTTGCATTCACCCTCCCCTGGCAAAGCCTCCGCCTAGGGCTGGCCCACCCCTCCCCCAACCAGAGAAGGTACTCACTGATGGGGGCGTGTAAGGCCACGTGCTCCTGGTAGGGCGTGTAGTACTTGTACTGCTTTCCGCAGAATTCACAGGTGTAATTGCCAGTTTCTGTCCAAGGAGAGGAAAGGGTGGGAATGGGCTCCTGACTCCCGTCCAGAAGCAGCAGCATGCTCCCTCCCCTCCGACTCCCCCTCATCCTGGGACCAAGTACAATCAGGAGCCCACTGGAGTCAGACCGCCTGGGTTCAAATCCCAGCTCCTCCATGTCCAGCTGTGTGACCTTGGGCAAATCTCTTAACCTCTCTGTGCCTCAGTTTTCCTATCTGTAAACAGGGGTAATAATAGGACCACCTTCTAGGATTGCTGCGAGGATTAAATTTATATGTCAAGTGCTTAGAACAGTACCTGGCACACGCGGTTTCTCCAACACTCCACCCCCAGGCCCTGGTGTTCAGGAAATGTGTGGTGACCTGAGCTGACCCCCCAGTGCCAAGATCTCGCTCAGCCCCTTCGCGAACCCTGCCTTCTGCAATGGCCACACTGGGGTCCCCTCGTCTCCAGGACCTTCCCCGTCCCAAGCACCCCCACCCCCCAGCAGGAGGGGGTCACATCTTCCTCTTGGGTCCCACCAGACTTTATCTTTACCTCTCTTTTGGCACTGCCTAACTTCTTTCTTCTTAAAAATTTCTGATGTAATATTGTTCACTGGGGGAAAATTATAAAATACTGATAAATACAAATACAAAATTTAAAGAGTAAGAGAAATTTCAATCACCTGTCACCCCCGAAAAAAGAGGAGCAGCTACCCCTTGGAGGGGGAGCATGCAACCTTGCCATCTGCCCCAGGCCCCACCCCTCCCTCCCATCTCTTCCAGAACGGGCTTCTCTCCCCCTGACGTCATCTGTCTGGCTCCGGTGGGCCTTGAATTAGCCAGCCCTGATCCATATCCTCTTTGTAACCTGGCGTATTCAATCGACAATACTTTGTGGACATCTTGCTTAGTCAATAAACATCAATCCCTACTGCATTTATTGGCTGCATGGTTCCCCCCGGACTTTGAAATCTGCTGAGCCAGTCTACTACACCAGGGGACGTATGGATTGTTTCAAAATTTTTCCCTTAACAAAAAAAAAAAAAATGCTGTGATCCACATCCCTGTAGAAATGTTTGCCCATTTGCTCATTATTTTTCATATCTCTGCAAAATAAAGATTTAAGCATAATTGTTGCTCGTTATTTCCTCAGGATAAATTAAGGGTATGCATTTTTAAGGCTTTTGATAACCATAGCACCAACTACATATCAAAAAGTTGGGTCAATTTTCATCCCAATCAGAAAGATTTGCCTTATAAGGGGGAACCACACTGCACTGCTGCTTTCAAGTTCCACTTGTCTGCGTTCTAAGGAAATTGACTATTTTTCACGTTTAATTAACCGCACTTTTTCTTCTGTGACTTTCCCATTTGTGTTCACAGCCGATGTTTCCATTGGTATATTTACCTTTTTTTAATTGCCAAGAACTCCATACATTAAGGACATCAACAATTTTGTTTATATGTTTCAAGTATTTTTTCTCAATTTTTTTTTTATTCTGTGTATGGTTTTTCTCTCTCAACATGGACTTAAAACATTTTCATAACTTTTATAACTGATGCACGAACACTGGAAAAGATCTACTATTTGCTGTTCATAGGCTTCAAAGCTGTTAGAGCAACTGTATTAATTGTATTATTCAAACCCTATTTGATCCTATTTGTCTACCCGTTCTATTGAAGACTGAATGTTGTGATCAATCCTTCCATTATGTCGTACTTCCAAATTTATTTTGTATATTTAGATGCAATGTTGTCTGATGCATATAAATTAAGGCCCATGAGATCAAAATCGTCACTGTTAACTGTAGCCTTCAGAACACGACATTATTTTCTAACACAGTGCTTCTAAAAGGTGTGGTCCCTGGACCAGCAGCATTAGCATCATCGGACAATCGGTCAGAAATGCAAATTCTCAAGACTTCTCCAAGACACACTGAAAGAAAAGTTCTAGGACCAGGATCTAGGAAGCTGTGTTTTAACAGGCCCCCTAGAAAAATCTGACACACAGGAAACTTGAAGAACCACTGCTCAGATATTTAATTACACTGTTGTATTAGTTCGTCTGACATTAGTTATTAATTCTTGATCATTTATAAGAGCCTCCTTTCTCCTTGTTTGCATGCGCCTAAAAACACTTCCCTAAATTTTCTTGGGAAAATTCATTAAAAAGATACTTCGGCAAATGCCACCACAAAATGCTGAGCAAAAGCAATCATGGTTCCTGCCTTCAAGGAGCTTACAGTCTGGAAAAGGAGACAGAAAAATCAAATAATCACACAAACTTAAAAACTGCAACCACAATGGGTGTTCTTAAAGGAGACATTTACAGTGCTATGAAAATCCCAATAGGGAATTCAATTAGTTAAGGAAGCAAGAGGGAGCTCCCTGAGAAAGAGTATAAGATGAGAAATTATGAGGTATGTCTCTAATAAACCATTATTTCAAATTAACTGGAGAACCTTTGTCTTCTAATAAAAGAGATTATGCCATTTCCTTTTATTGCTATAATTGACTTGGTTTTACTTGTTCTGTGTTTTGATTCCTTTATTTTTTTCATGTTCTACCCTTTCTGGTTTGTTTCCTTCGTTTTCTGTTGTTTGATGCAGGAAATCTTTTCTCTGCCTTTCCATTATTCTCCAATATTCCATTATTTTCCAATATTCTCCTTTGTCTGTTTTACACAGCATGTAAGATACATCTCTGTTACAGTTAAGCAGAAAATGACGTTTTCAAGTCTATTACCATGGAGAAAGGTAGCTTAACTCCATGCTTCTCAAACTTCAGCAGGTTTGAGAATCATCTAGAAGGGCGGTTACAACACAGATTGCCCGGCTCCGCCCCAGAGATTCCGATTCCATGGGTCTGGGGTGAAGCCTAAGAATTTACTTTTCTGATAAGCTTCCAGGAAATGGTGCTGCTGCTGCTGGTCTAGGGCCCACACTATGGGAAGGACTGCTTTAATCTACTCTATCGTATCCTTCACCTATTCCTTCCTTCGCGTGTTCTTACAAGTCGTTTTTAATACTGTAGAATGATCTTTGTCTTTTGCATTCAATTTTGTAATCATATTCACATTTTAAACTTATCTCTAGTTTATCTGGTTTTAACACTGACCACAAGTCCTCCTGTGCTATGAATTCATTCCTCACAACTGTAGTGTATTTTATGAATTTTTTGAAGATGGGTACACGGGGAAAATAGTGTTTTTTCAAGCCCTCACTTTTCCCTTTACTCATAAATTACAATCTGTCTAGATATAAAATTCTTAGGTTGTAATCTACGTTTCCCATCAAAACATATTCCATTATCTTTTGGCACTGAGTACTGTGCAGAAATCTGAGGCAAGTCCCCTTGGATTCATCTGTTAATAATGGCCTTTTCTTATGCCTGGATGCCTGCATGTTTTTTTCCTTCATATTTATAGTTTTAAAAAGTCACAAAGATCTACAGAGTTATGGGTCTCTTTATATTGAGGAAGATTATAGCCCAATCATCTGTCATCCCCTGACATACGGTGAGCCCTTAAATCAGCATACATGGTCTGCCTTTAGCAACTCTGCTCTTTACTACGCACAATGTAGGTTTTAATTCTCTTTTCTGTTTCTCTGCAGTCCTTCACCTCACTCCTTTCTCTGCCTCTTCATTTTATCCTGCTGCTCTGTCACTGGACAATTTCAGGCTCCTCTCTCACAGGGGTCATGGTATGGACTGAACCGTGGCCCCCACCCCACCCCCAAAGTCAACTGTTGATGCCCCACCTCCCCATGTGATGGTGTTTGGACATGGGGCCTGTGGTAGGTAACTGGGTTGAGAGGAGGTCATGAGGGTAGGGCCCTCATGACTGGATTAGTGCCCTTGTAACAAGAGGCACCAGGAAGCTTGCTTGCATCAGTCTCCCACCGTGTGAGGGGCACAGACGGAAGGTGGCCATCCCCAAGTCAGGAAGAAGGTTCTCACCAGAACCTTGACCAGGCTGGCACTTGGACCTTGGACTTCCAGCCTCCAGAACTGTGAGAAAATAAAGCTGTTTAAGTCATCCAGTCTGGCACTTTGTTATGACAGTCCAAGCAGACTAAGAGAAGTCATATTTTCTTAGATTCAGTTGTGGCGGTCAAACAGAATTTTCTTCTAGATTTTGTAGTAAGTCATTTTTAGAGGTATGCTTTTCCTCCGAGTCTCCTAAATTCTGTCTTGTTAGGTGGAATTTTTATAGTTTCACGCTTTGGGTTTTTTTCTTTTAATTTCAAAGTTTTTCAAGTTACTCATCCTTAGCCACATATAAAAATCGAGTAAACTATAGATGATCCAGACTTACTGTTTTCAGTAGACATGAGTGAACTGTTCTTGAGCCTCCCATTATCACGGCAGTAAATTATCATGGCAGACCACTATCATGGTAGTAATTCTCAGATCTGCAGCTGGACAGCAGGCTGACACGCAGGACCCCCGTGACCAACTGTCTCCTTCTAGAAGGATTCTTCTGCTGTCATGGCTCCAGCTTCCTCCTAAGTACCTAACTCCCCAATTTGCTCAGGTGACGTGGATGTGGACAGTGTACTTCCCGGCATGCACTGCTTCTGGGAATTTCCTCTTCCGGGACCCACAAAGCTCTACCTGTGGCCAAGGTCCCTTTGTGGGGCTCTGTGCCTCTCATGACTCCTCTTACTCTACAGCTTGTCATTTTTAGGGTTCTGTGACCTTGGCCTGCTTGAAACCCAAGATGCAGCACTCTTATCTCATAAGGCAGCTCCTGAGTGGTAACAGGAGATGCTCACACTATTCTAGCAATCTCAGTTTCAAAAGGTCAAGCTGGGAGCATGCAGGGAGCCAAACCCAGTTCTGTTTTCTCAATGCAATTCCCAACTGTGTATGATGTGTGACAATTCCTCCCAGATCCTAGCACTGGTCGTCTGTCCAACTCAGTTACTGATATACAGAACAAGTTTCATCTAGTTCTACATGTAGTGAGTTTTCTTGTCATCAGCCCATTCTTGAGTTAAGGAAACCATGGATTAGGGAGATCATAAAGCGTGTAGGATGTCAAGCAGGTATGAAGTGTAGAGCGGGGGTTTCATAGGTGGGATGCTCTAAAGCTCCCAGTCTTGGCCATTTCTTGACAACATCACTCATTTGTTACGCCCTGAATACAAGCCAGGGGCTGGGCTAGTCCCTTCCTGCATGCATCCTCCAGCGGCCTTACAGAACAGAGAGATGTTCTCATCCCCAACTTCCAGATGAGTCAAAGGACACTAAGAAGGGGTAAGTGGCTAGTCAACTGGTGATGTCAGCATTCAAACCCGTGCCTGATTCCAATTCTATTTTCATAATTACGATGCTAAGGATGGAAGGGCAGGGCTAACCCGGGGGCAGCGGACCGGCAGTTCTGAGATGGCAGGTCACAGATCCCACTGTCCCCATCCTGTATCTGTCTATAATTGTCCATCACAGAACAGGGCTCACTCGCAGGTGGGTTTCGCCACAGTTTAACTTTTAGCAGTTTTAGCGTTGAGGGCTTCCTTATTTTCTTCGAGAGAGAGAAACTGGACACATGCGCATAGTAAACTTGACAAGTACTGCACTAACCGCTTCACAGATACTCTTCCAACCCCAGTCTCCTGAGTGCTTAAGAGTTCAAAGAAAGCAATGACCCAGTCAACGCATTCCAAAGGTCAGGGCCAAGCTCCACCCTGTGAGGAACACCTCCAGCTTCGCTGTTTTTCCTGCCCTAAGATGTCCTCATGCATTCATTCAATGTTTGCGTGTGTATTTTTGCAAGCTACCTGAAATCCTTGTTGTAATGAGGCACAGTCAACAAAGGTCTTTTCTTGCTGGGTGGTAAGCGAGAGGAGGAGGAATGCAAATTCCTGAAGGGCTGGACCAGACACCTCTCACTGGCTGACTCCACCCAATCCATTCTTCTAGAAACAGCCAAAATGGTCTTCCTAAAATGTGAATCTGATCAAGTCCCTTCCCCACTTGGGAAACTCTCTAGCTCACTTCCCTCAGAAGGAAGTCTAGATGCCTTCCTCTGGCATTCAAGGCTAAGACCCGAACTCAGAAACTGATTGGCCTTTCAATTCCCTAGAACAAGAGCTGCTCTCCTACCTTCACCCCGTGATTCAAGAGCTCATTCCCCACCCTGGTCCCCAAAGCAGGAGCCTCCCTGCTTCCCAGGGCTGGTCACGTGCTTCCCCGGCCCCCATGGCTCCCTGTGCTGCAGGTCATGCTCTATCTGCGCACTGACCTACTGCCCCCTTCCTGTGCCAAGTACCCAAAGGCAGGGCCACAACTGCTTCACCCACTGTGTCCTCCCCACACTCCACGCACGTGCGCTGAGAACAGGCCGCAGGTGTGGGGCCTGCCCTCAGGGGTTTCATGGGACAAGGACAGATTGTCCATGTGGCTCCCTTGGATGGCTTCATTTGCCGATGAACCCCTTCATTTGCGGATGACGACAATAAGGGTTATTTTCCGAGCACCTATTATGTACCAGGCACTGTGCTAATAGGTGATTTACATTCACGATCTCATTTAATCCCCCAACAAACCTTCGGGGAAATGCAGTCCTCATTGACAGGTGAGGAGCCGAGGCTCAGGACGGCTAACAGACCACCAGGCACCAAGCATGTGCTACACGCACTGACCTGACCTTGACCCTGTGCTGTTCTGCTGCTCCTCAAAAGCTGAAGTCCTAAGACTGGCCCATCTGACAGGCGGCAAAGTGAGGTGTAAGGAAGCCAGCGATCGCTGGCCAGCAGCACTGTTGCGGGATGAGTGAGGTCACCCCCTTCCAATGGCAAGACTCACCCCGCCCCCCTCAGCTGGCCCCCAGCTGTCTCCCCACCCAGCCCACCCCCAGAAAGAGGCCCGCATACTTGGCCCAATTTTCTGGAATGGTTCCGGGGGCTCCTCCTTCACCTCGTCAGTGGCCACAACACCTTGGTCGAAGGGGTCTGTGGGAGAACACACAGCCCTTAGCGCCCTGGTGACCAGGTCTTGGGAGCCCAGGCGGGGACAGGGAGGTGGGCAGTTACCAAGGACTTACCTGCCCGATTCTCGGGGGCCCCTTCCACACTAAACACTGCGCCCGGGTGGGAGGCAGCAGCCGCAGAAGGAAAGAAGCAAACAGGAGCCCTGTTAGTCCCTGCCCACAGCTGCCTCTGCCCAACGCTCCCAGCCTCTCTGGGACCCAGGAGAGCCGCCGTAGCCAGCGTGGACACCCCAGAAAACCAGGGGCCACAGGAGGGCACATCCCAACCAGGACGCAGCCCATGCCTCCGTTCCTCATCCTCCCCATGGGCTAGGGCCCAACCCAGAAGAGGGCAGATGCTATCTGCCCGGCCTGTTTCTGGATCCTGTTTCTGGATCGCTGCAGCCACTCTAGAGTGCCAGGACAGGAGAAAAAGAGGAAGAGACCAGTTAGGAGAAAAAGAGAGGATGAGAAGAAGGACAAGCCAGTGGCAATGGGCGGCAGGGCCTGGCTGTCACAGCTTGCGACAGGCTGGGGTGCAGAGCTAGAGAGGAAGCCCCCTCGATCCTTTCCAGGTCCAAGACCCTATTTCTAGGCTTGAGAGTCTAAAAATATATTACCTAAATTTATGGTTCTAATTTCTAACTCTATAACCTAAGATCCTAAAATATCATCATTCATTTTAAAAAACTGGTTTAATTTCATCAGAGCATGTGAATACTCAGTACAAAATTGTAAAATGCATCGATATGAAATTGCTGAAATTCGACGGATTCTGACCTACCAAAATGGCAATTTCACTTGGGCTACCCTAATCAGAAGAATATATGGAGTATGACGGGGACCTTCTCTTTCCCAGAATCCTCAAGGGTCGGTCACTCGCCTCATGGTCTGACTGCTGCCTGACCTTCCTCTGGGTGGGAGGAGAGAGGGGACAATTGGTGGTTGGAGGGGGGAGCCAGATGAGCAGCCCTGGTGCCAGGGGTGGGGGTGGGGGTGCTCCTCTTCACAGAGCGAGGGGCCCGACTCACCATCCACGGCGTGCAGGTCCCGGTGCTCCTGGAAACAGCTGTAGTACTTATACTTTTTCCCACAGATGTCACACGTGTACCTGAAATTGTCTGTGGGGGATGGAAAGACACAGGCAGTTACCAGGACTTTGGACTCTTGGGCTGGGGATTTTTTGGGGGGCAGGCTCATCTGCCTTAGAAGCCAACATGGGACTAGGCCACACCGGCCCAAACCAGTGACCCGTGGACAGTCTGTCCCGGGAGTGTTAGGGGTTCTCTACACAAGGAGATACGAGAGCCTTGAAGCAACGTTCAAACCAAACCCCAATCCCACTCTGGGTGAGCCGAGCTCCTAAGCTCCCCCCCCCCAACCTTGAGGTTACAAGAGAGTAACGGTCACTGCACCTACTATTTCCTGGCGCTGCATGCGCAAGGGGCCAGGCCGGGCACTTCGTCTGCCTTTCCTCCGTTGGTCCTTGTGACCAAGGCAGGAAGTCATAACCCACTGAACACACGTGTAGACAGAGGATCAGAAGGGACCTGTCCCAAGCCCCACAGCGAGGAGGGTCTGTGATAGGCAGCTTCCCAATGACCCTGGCCTCCTGGCGTACACACCCGTGTCATCCCTTTGCTTTGAGCCTGAGCGGGACCTAGGGATTTGCTTCTAATGAAGGGAATGTGATAAAGTGATGGGATGTCATTTCTGAGGTTAGGTTACAAAAGACCGTGACTTTCGTCTCGCTCACACTGCCTCGCTTACGGGCTGCCCCAGAGAAAGAGCCATATGGCAGCCTCCGGGGAACAGCCAGTGGGGAAGTGAGGCCCTCAGTTCCACAGCTTGGGAAGGACCCAGCCTGTTAACAGTCGCGTGAGTGTTGAAGCAGCTCCTTCCCTGGCTGAGCCTTAAGAGGAAACCACAGCCCTGGCCCACACCTCCCCTGCCCCAGGAGCCCCACAGCCAAAGGACCCAGGGAAATCACACCCAAGGTCTGACCACACAAATCGAGATAACCAATGTTCGTTTAAGTCATTCAGTCTTGGGGATATGTGTTACACGGCGAGAGCTAACAAATACAGGGCCAGAGTCTGGATGATCCCTAGGTCTATCCAAATTCTGAGGCCAGACCCACTCAGGACACTGCTCTCACCACGCACTAGCATGGACCTCCCGTGTGTATTCCTTGGGCAGATCTAGGGATGGTCCATTGACCCCCATGTTCCTGATGAGGCCCCGCACAGGGAGACTGAATGGCTTGCTCAAGGCTGCACAGTGGGGCGAGGAACAGCCAAGATTCAAATGTTCACTTAACTCCATGCCATAGCTAAGTCAGGGCACATGGCCCTTCTCGGTCTGCATAAGCCACCTTCCACTCCTGACTGACGCACCAGGCCTCTGGCCCTTCTTCTGCTCCCCAGCACTCAAACACAGGATTGGATGAGACTCCCTCCATCCCAAGGTTGCCAGGCAATTCTACAGGAAGGTTTCTGGTCCCTGCTTAGCTCAACTAAGGGGCACAGATGACATCAGCCTTCTCCTTGCCTCTGCCCATCATCTCTTCCACTGCACCTGCAGGCTCTCAAAGTCCCCAGGGCCACAGAGATTAACTGGTCCCCAAGCAAGGTGCACACAGTGTCAGCACACACAGTCCTTCTGAGGGTCTGGGGACCAGGCCCTGCCACCTCCATGCCCACCCCTGAACCAGCCAGGCAGCAGTGGGGGGAGGTGGGAGGGTGTGGAGGAGGAGAGACCTGGTTCTGCTCTGCCTCACTCAGACTGTCAGCTCAGCAAGTGCGGACCCTACCTCGGGGTTCAGCTTTTCTTCTTTTCCCCCTAATCTGAGGGGATAGGAGGGTCATAATGAGCTGATTCCCATGGCTTCTTCCAGGCTGGCCATTCTAGGATTCCAAGCCTGGCTCCAGCTTCAATCCAGCCTAGACAATAACCACCACCACATGCCCCATCATGTCCCATCTGGACCGTAATTCTCTCTCGGTGCTGGACACTGGGGAACACACCTGAAGAAGTCAAGGCCATCCAGGGTCTGGCTCCAGACAAGTCCCTGCCCCTGAAACGCCTCTCCCCTACTGGCTAGTGCTGGTCGCCCTCCACAGCTTCTGGAAACAACGTCTCACCTCTGCTCACACAGCCCCTCCTACCACCTCCAAGAAAATGAGAACCCCCAGCTTTCTGCCACTGAGAAGCGTCATCACCCTGCTCTGCGGAATCCCACCCCACTCCTTCTCAACACGCATGGGGACCACACTCCCGGACCCACCTAAGGCAGGAGTAGATTAGGACAAAAGACTTATCCGCAAAGGAAAAAAGGCAAAATGATCTTTCTGTCAATGAAACCACATTTTCAGAGCCTCCAAGAGAGCTCAGAAACTCTAGGAATGGCACTGCGAATCAGTCTGGGGGGACAGGCTCTGGAGTCAGGCTGCCTGACTCCAACCCGGCTCGGCCACCAACCAGTGTGACTAACACTGGACACACTCCCAAACTGCTGCACCTCGGTTTTCTCATCTGCAAAATGGGAACGATAGTACCTTCATCTCCCAGAGTTGTAATAAAGAATGAGAGAGCACAATGCCTCAGAGACAACAAATACTTGGTAAACGTTACCTCACACTGTTTCGGAAAGGGAATCAATGTAACAGCAGGAAGAGAATTGGACGTGGAGCTAATCTTTTATTTTCTTAGCTAAGAGATGGGTGACTGGGCATATGCCTCCATTTCGGACTGTACAATTTTTCTAACAACTAAATCAAAGACCCTGGACTAGAAGGCGGGAGGCCCGGTTTCTAGGCCCACCTCCACCACTAACAAGTTCCACTGAGTTCTCTCTGGGACTCAGTGTCCTCATCTGCAAAATAGGTAGGCTGGACTTGGTAGTATTCTCGACACAACGCTTTTGGCTCCAGGGCTCCACGGTCAGGCTCCTGTCACGAGGACGCCAGGCTTTCTGAGCAGGCGCTGCTGGCCTGGGTCAGGGTAGGGGTGCAGGACTGAGAATAAAATAAAGCACAGTGGCCGTGGGGAGAAAACTCCCTAGGGAGGAAGGCAAAAGTGATGGAAAGACTAAAAATACCCCCAGTGACAGTCCTCTACAGCCAGTGGGCCTCCGGGAACCATGGAAGCCAGACAGAACACAATGGATCATTGAGGTGCTGCCAGAGAAGCCAGGGGCCCAGAATAGCCAAGGAAGGAAAGATAAATAGAAAAGATCTTTAAATATGTGGCTGACCACAGGCAAACCACGGGAGCCTGAAGAGAAGGAAGCTTCTGAAGGAGAAGGGAGCCAGGGGCTAGGCTGGGGCAGGGCTCAGGGAGGAGGGACAGGCTTACACCGCTTCCTAGCCAGGGTCCTCCGGCAGGTGTCAGGCCTAAGTGAGCCTCAGAACGTCTAGAACACGGAATCTTAGCCTGCCCTGCCTGCCTCTCACGTGATATGGGAATCCAAGGAGAGAATGGATGGGAAAGGGCCTCAGAAGAAATGCTTTCTGGACCGCGTACAATTAAGGCCCTGCGTTGGCCCACACACCTCCTCAATCTGCTTTGTTATGGAATTTTTTTTGCGGGGGGGGCGGGGGGAGGAGATCACGTTTATTATTTTTAAAAACCTTTTATGGCAGGAAGAATAGGGGTTGACAAACTACGGCCTGCCCACCCTCTGTTTTGGTGAAAAATTCGTTTCCATATCATCTCCGGCTATGTTCATGCTACGTGGCAGAGCGGAGTGGTGGGGACAGAGATGTCTGGCCTGCAACGTCTAAAATCCTGACTGTCTGGTCCCTACCAAAGAGTCTGCTGACCCCGACGCAGAAAACTGTTCAGCTCCTTCAATTTTCATAAACCAGAAACACCTTCCCAAGGATAACCATGATTTCTTCCAGCACGAATCACTCTCCCAATTTTGTACTTCCTGTACACAGATCTTAGAGGAGGGGCTCTTGTGTTGGGCTCCTTTTGCTAACCTTGTGTTTGTGCGTAATCCACATTGCTGCGTGTAGCCATACATCATTCCTTCTCCCTGCTTCATGCGAACACACCACGACTGATCTGTCCATTCGCCTAGCACTGGGCACTCAGGTGGTTTCTGGTCTGGGGCTTTCAACAGTGCTGCTAAGAATATCCTAGTTCCCAGGCGCCTGGGTGGCTCATTCCACTGAACGTCTGCCTTCGGCTCAGGTCATGATTCCAGGGTCCCGGGATCAAGCCCCACGTCGGGGTCCCAGCTTCCTGTTCAGTGGGGGATCTGCTTCTCTCTGCCCCTTCCCCATGCTTGTGCTCTCACCTGCTCTCTCTCTCTCTCGCTCTCTCTCAAATAAAATCTTAAAAAAAGAATATCCACTTCCCATCTTTTGGTGGACATGTGCACGTGGTTCTGTTGGGGATACACCTGTGAGTAGATGGCTAGGTTCTGGACCTCGGGTTCTTTGGGCGGGGAGAGGTTCCAGCCCCGTCTACACCCATCTGGCTTCTTCTGAGGCCCGCGGGTTTAGATCTGGGGGCAGGGCAAGCAGAACGCTGTCCTCAGATGGCAAGGCCCTGTCAGGCCCAGGCTGGGGTAGCGCACCCAGAGATTAGCGCCCATGGGTGCTCTTGAGAAAAGCCTCGGAAGTAGCATTTCCCAAACATCAGCCCCGAGTTTGCCAGTGAGGGACCCTGGGAAGTGTACCACAAAGAAACATGTTCATCTTAGCAGAACTCAAGCTTCCCCAGGTTATTTGGCCAGAGAACCCGTTACTGATAGAACATGTATTAGCTTCCCCAGGATGTGTGCCATGAACACACTTTGGGAAAGGCTGCTCTGAGGTATCATCCTACAATGTCATAAAGACCCTCTGGCCCCAAAGCCTGAACCCACAGGCCCCTTGGGACAGTCCTGAGGGGGACAAGAGCAAGGGGAAAATACTCACTGCCTTGGGAGGCTCCCTCCCCTGAGGTGGCTTCCGTGTCTGCAAAAAAGAGAAAAATGAGAAGTGAGCGGACTGGACCCATGGCGCGGCCAGTGCCAAAGAGCGAGAGGAGCGGGGGCAGCCGGTGACCCCACCACAACGTGCCCAGGACACTCTGTGCCCATTCACGGCCCCTCCCTGTGCCCCCTGCCATCAGTCAGGCCCAGATCCATTGCCCTTTCTCCCTGTCCCCTCAGCCTCCTCCTCTTCAGAATGGAGACAGCGCCCTGCCCCCACTCCCAGGGCTGCCAGGAGGAGCGCACAAGAGGACATGTGAGCACCTTCCCGGCAGGGGCCGCTCACACCACACGGCACTGATGCACCCTGGGAGGAAGTGGGCCCGTGTGGAGCAGGCAGGGGCAAGAGTGGCAAAAGCCTGGCAACATGTCCTCCCAACGCCCCCACTGGCCCTGTGTGCTCTCCCAAGTAAGGAGGCCTCTTCTCTCCACCTGGGTCTCCACCCTACTGCAGACAGAGTGAGAGGACTGGCGCTCTGATGTGTGTGTGTGCGGGGGTGGGGGGGTCCTGGGGTCATCCACAGGCCAGGCAGAGAATGGGGAGGTGTGGCCCTCGGCTCTGCCCCAGAGATGCCACGCACCTCGGTGTGCCCGTACGTGGGTCTGGAAACAGTTGTAATACTTGTACTTCTTGCCACAGATTCCACACTCATAGGATCCTGGAAAACAGGAAAGAAAGGGACAGCTCAGTCAGTACCCAACACGTGCAACTATGAGGTCCCAGGACCCACAGTGATGCCCCCAAGGTCACCCAGTGGGCTGTCTTAGTCCCAGCAAGCAGAGAAGCAGCAAGGACCAGCAGACACAGCCCCGAGCTGGAAGTCAGGAGCCCGGGGTCTAGTTCCAAGTTTCTGCCCCAACTCTCTAAGTGACCTCGGGCAAGTCACTTCCCATCTCTGGGGCTCAGTTTCCAAATCTGTTAAGACGGAGAAGACAACTCCTTCTTATACTTATTCCTTGAGAGAAAAAAGGAAATGAACATAAAAGTGCTCTTTCAAACTAAGGAATAAATGGCATCCATGGAAGGAAATCAACATGCATTCAAGTAACTTCTACCTTTCCTCCTTGCCAGGATGGGACAGAGGTTAAGAGGACAAACTTTGAACCAGATGGATCTGATCCCCGTTCCTGTTCTGCCACTTACCAGCATCATGCCCTAGGTTATTCCCTTAGACACATTAAGCCTCAGTCTGCTCATCTGTCAAATGGGGCTACAAACACCTACCTCACAGGAGTGGCCCTATATCCCCCCTAGGAAGTGCCCAGCCCTATTAGAGATGCGCCCTTCAGGGAGAGCACCCCCTCCCCGTCCCCCGCAGTCTGCTGAGCAGTTTTCTTGTTCTCTCAGATATACAGAGACCGACACGGTGTAACTGCCTGACTCCAGTCCTCTGCCGGGCGCTTCTCCCAGGAGCTGGGACTGAAATGGCTGAGTTCCCAGTAGGCATTTCGGACAGGTCAAGGCAGAGCCCACGCTTGCAGAGCACACACAAAAGGCCCATGGCAGGAAGCCAAGCAGAGCCCATCAGACCCAGCCTGGCAGGGGCCCCAGGCTCAGAGGCCCTGCTCATCCCTCACGGAGGCCCACGACCACCTGAGTCCGAGCCGCACCCTTCCTAACAGACTGGCCAGGAAATTCGCACCAATACAGAGGCCCTGGCCCCACGCCAGGGTCAGTGCCCTACAACAGCTGAGGCCAGGGGCCTAGGAATCTGCGTTTTTCAAAAGGGTCCCTCAGGGGATTCTGAGCAGACCAGCAACCAGGTTCAGGAACCACTGACTTTAGAGTAAGACAGATCTGGGAGGGGATCTCAGCTCTACCCTTTACTGGCTGGGCCTCAGTTTCCTTCTGGGAAAGAGGTGGATAATGCAATAGCATCTAGGTGAAGACTGGCTTGTTCCTGCCACGAGCCCAGGTGTTCAGTGAGTGCCCGCATCACCAGCTATTTTTGCCTTCAGCCTCTCCTGGGGGCAGAGGCCTGTTTACTGGGTGCAAACTCCAGGTATCTGATTAAGTCTGAGGAGCACCGAGTCGGACTGTCTGCTCAGCTCTGCCACAGCCCTCAGCTGACCTCAGGCACATCCCTTTTCCGGTCTGGGCCTCAGCGGCCTCACCTGTGACCCAGGACGGTGACGCCTACGTCTCACGACCGAGGTCAGGACTAACAAGACACACAGGTGGCCTCGCCGCCTTACCACTGTGGGTCATAAGGTGGATGCTGTCATCCCAACACCAGCGTGGAACCTCGCAGCCTGTTACCCAGTGGTTTTATCCGCCTGAGCCGTGTCTCACAGAGAAAAATAAAAATGTGGGGAGGGCAAAGATCAGATTCCGTATTTCATTGTCTTTAGCCCCGTGATTGGCACACAATGGGGGCTCAATAAATTCACGGTGTCCTGCAGTTCTACTCACCTGTCACCGAGTCCTAATGACCCCGACTGCCTTCCTGTGCCTCTACCCCACTCTTCAACGGTTTTTGCCAATTGCCCTTCAACCAACTGAGAATTTATGGAGGCTTTTCAACGTGCCTGGCACTGAAGCCCCAACCATGAGCCAGTCCACGAGCGATCACTGCCCTCCGTGAGAGGAAGCAGAGAGACCACTAGGCAAGGGGACGGGCAGGGTGACGGCGTTACGACAGTGACGTACGGAACCTGGTGGGCCCCAAAGCGAGGGACAAAAGTCAGAGGGGTGAATAGGCGGGAGAGGCGAAAGGAAAGGGGCAGACGGAGGGGAAGGTGGCCCAGGGAAGGGGGAGCCCCTCCCGAGAAGACCAGAGGCCACAGCCTGTGATGAGGCAAAACTGGTTCAGATCTGACCCACTTCCAGATGAAGTCTCTGTGCCCCAGCCCTGCCCCCTCTCTGCCACAGATCTGGGCCTCAGTTTCCCCACTACAGTCAATGACCTAAGGACTTTCTCAAACTGTGTAATAACTGCAGGTTGCAATGGGTCCCCCCAGTTGCCCACTTCACCCTGTTGATAAGCAAGCCAGGTCTCTACTGGCTTTATGGGATTTTTCCCTCAACCCATAGAGGGAGCGGAGGATCCTTGAAGCCTTGCTCCCGGATCTCAACCCACACAGTCTCACAAGGGGGGTAGTCATCAGTCCTGCGCCCTCTCCTGGCTGCCCCCCAGGGCAGAGTGGGGGCCCTCGCCCCGTGCACGGAGTCTCAGGCCTGAGTTCAAGGGCCCGCCTGTCTCCTCACTGCCACTCACCCTAAGACCCCAGGCTTCAGGCGCTCTGTGTGCAGGCGGCTGGGGGTTGCGGCCTGGGGAGAGTGCAGCAGAGCGTCAGCCCACCTGGGTTCAAATCCTGGCTCACTACCTAAGCAGCCAGGGGCCCTGGACAAGTCACGGAAACACTCATGCCTCAGGCTTCCTCTCTAAGCACAGGAAGATGGTACCCATCTTGGGGAGTTGGGAGCAGTAACTCTATGGCTACAGAGCACCGTACCCAGTACAAAACAGGTACTCAGGACAGCACAGCTGCTGTTACTAAGCAGCATTTTCCAGAGTTCTTTAGAACCCAACTTCCTGAACGCAGCCCGGGAAAGATACACCCATGATCAAGCGGGTGGGAGGCACGGCCGTCTTGGGAAGGCGCGGTGCAGGGGGAACTTAGGGACAGGTCCTACAGGAACCTTGTTTAACCCCAGCTCTTCCAACACATGTGGCCACAGAACTCTTTTATAGCCTTGGCTTGTTTCAAAGTTGCAGTCCACAGCAGGTGCTGCCGGGATGGTCCTGATGTTCCAGACTTCCCGATTTCCACAGACTGTCATCCCTCCGATGGCCAAGTCCTCCAGGCCCCTGGCAGGCTCAGATTTGCTGCCCTGTGGCAGTGATGGGGTGGTTGAGCGTGGCCCCTCGTGGCCCTGTCTGGCCGTGCCCCCACCCACATGCCGGCCCCATCAGGTCGTCCTGCCCCTCGGCCCTCACGTACCAGATGCATATCTCAACGCTTGGTCAAAAATCCAGGTCCCTGAATAGCGACTTCGCACAGATCCACCGTGGGGGCTGCCTTCAGGCGCTTTTCCATCTGAATTACGTAAGAAATCAGAAAGATCCCTTAAAGTTGGGGGTGTCTGGGAGGTGGGGGAAGGAGCCAGGTGAAGGGGAGGGCTCCACGTCTCAGGTTGGCCAGTCACCTGAGCCGCCAGGGCCTCGGCTTCTCCATCTGCACAAAGAAGTGTGACCAAGATCGTGCGGTCTACTTTTTCAGCGAAGAACCTGTCCTTGCCAGGGGGGCATCCGTATCTCCCCTGGAAGGCTGGGCTATGGCAGAAAAGAGCCACAGGCCCAAATCCCCCCGAAGTTTTATGTTTTCTCTGTATTCTAACGCATGACGTAAATAAAACATAAAATTATCCATTGTATGGCTATTTCTCCCCAAGAGCATTCCAGCAAGATGACCCTATAGGGAGGATATGCCCTGCTTATGCTGTGGCCTGGTGCCCCTCCCCAGCCACAGCCTCTGCAATACCCCAGGGTGGTGCAGGGGGGTGCTAGCGAGCCTTCTTGGGGATGCTCAGCTCAGACAGTCCGGGTCCCCAAAAATGACTCCCTCCCCGGCTCGCTTCCTCACTCTGCTGGGCTCCCCAACTACCCCTGTGTCCTTTGTCACCACCACTGCCTACTAAGTGCCAGGTGCTTAATGCCCTTCATTCGAGCCTCTCCTACATCTCTGCACAGGGCTGGCCTCCGAGCCCGACGCACAGCTGAGGAAGCAGAAGCTGGCCAGGTGTGCAGCCACGTGGCCAGCTCAGCTCACCCTCACACGTCCGGCAGACACAGGCGATTATCATCCCCATTTCTCAGATGAGGTAAGTAAGGACTGCAGGGACCACACATCCGGCCACAGGCGGCTCAGACTGGCAGTGATGGGGAGCCAGTGTATGTGCCGGCCATACCTCTGGGAAAGGACCAAGAACAGATGGTGCTTGTTAACATTTACCACCCACTGGGTGCACCCAGGTCTCATTCCCGTCCTCTATCCTCCCAGAAGTCCTGGTGTGCTTGGGACAACTCCGTACCCAGTTCACTGATGAGCGTGAATGTTCTAGGGGCCAGGCGGTCCAGGGTGGGGGCTACTCAGCTAGTGGCTGGCCAGCCTTCAGAGCCACCCTGCTGCCACCACACCAAGTCACCTCTGGATGCCAAAGGCACTCGGGCTTCCCCTTCAGTCCCAGGGCTCCCCCGAGTGCTGCAGGGCAGCCGACCCCCTCCCACTCCCGCTTGCCCCGCCATGTCCAGTCCTGCCTCGGGACTCCCAGAGTCCCCTATCCCCTCTCAAGGCTGCCAGGGGCAGCTGACAGAGCATGCCAGCACACGGGAGCCAAGCCTCTTCCTCTCCCCAACCCTGTCACTAGTGACGCAAGAATCCACAGGCCCTGAGTAACAGAACCTGTCTAGCATTTCCCGGAAGCACTTGGCAGACAGCCTGGCTTAGCTCCCTCCCCAAGAGCGCAGGTCAGACCAGGTGAGGCCAGCTGGGACCAGGGGGCTCTAGTTGCTGAGGCCACGTAGGTGAGAAGTTGGGAAGGCTCCGGCAGGGAAGGCTGGCCCTGAGGACAAGCAATGAGGGCAACAAGCCTCAGCTCTACCATCTGCACCCAGCTAGCTTCAGACAAGCTCAGACACCTTTCTAGATACACAAAATGCAACGAGACAGAAATCCGGAGCAGGTGAATGAGAAGACAAACACAAGAAGGTGGGGGTGCCAAGAAGCACCGAGCCCTCTTGGTTCTGGGACCCAGCAGGAGCGAGGCCCAGAGCCTGCTGGCAGACAAGGGAGCTGGAGAGGTAAATCATGGACAAGTGGGTTTCCTGAGGCTCTTAGGGCTTGGACTCAGACCAAATGTCTTCGGGACCAGGGTCTTCCAAGTAAGAGTACAAATCGCCTGGGGATATGTGAGCACAGGCAGTTTTAAGACAATCAATACCCCAATCATCAGCTTTCAAATATATTCTTCCCTAAAATCAATGTGCTGGAGATGTAGCGGTGGGAGGGGAGGCCCCACTCAGCTGGCTCTCCTCACCCACCCCCTGACACGCTACAAGCAAGACAATTCCTTCACCACCACCCCGCCATCGGGGCTGCCCATCTCACGGCTCCAAGCAAAGAGGTGATCCCAAGTATCGGAGTGAACCTAGAAAGTGGGCAAAATCTAACACCAGGGAACAACGCTTTTTGTGAATCGTGTGATTTCCAATTCTTTACTCTCAACGAAACTGAAGAAGCATCTAATGGAGCTGTTCGTAGAGAGACCATTAACAACAGTGTCTGATGACAGACCCCATGCGATTTTCAGCCCACAACTTGGAAAGAGTTCCAAAAACTGAGTGACACTCAAAACTGCACCCATCCCTGGTTCCTTATCTATGGAATTAAGCTTTCTAAGTACTTACATGTACAGAAACCAAAGGCAGGAGTTCAATTAATGCTAAATCTCGTCTCAGCCGTTAACTGTCTACCTTCGGCTCGGGTCATGATCCCAGGGTCCTGGGATCGAGCCCCGCATCGGGCTCCCTGCTCGGCGGGAAG